TAGGAACGGGAATATTTGAGATATCTTATTGCAAACTCTCTACCCTTCACTAGATTCTGACTCAAAGCAACCCTGTAGAACAGAGTAGAATTGCTTATAGGGTTACTAAGGGTGTAAGTCTTTATGGAAGCAGACTGCCACATCCTTCCCCCATGGAGTGGCTGGTGGGTTTGAATCACTCACCTTTTGGTTAGCATTGGAGTGTTTAATCATGGGCCACCATGACTCTTACATATCTTATTACAAATTATCAAAGAATATTCATTTATGCTTATTAGCATATGTCAAGTAATAAATATCATTAAGGTGTTTGAAGGTGAAAATAGATTATTTAGAGGCTAGGAAGTGTTTATAGGTTCACTATGAGTCGGAATCAACTCCACGCCAATGGGCTAAATAAGTGTTTCTTCCTCACTTTTTCAAACTGGGATATCTGGAAGCTAGTGAAATAACTGGATCATATATTTGTTGGTCCCTGGGTGGTATAAACAGTTTGTGCTCTACTACTAACCTAAAGGTTCATGATTCAAACCCACTCACCACACCACGGAAGAAAGCTGGTGATCTGTTTCTGTAAAAATTAAATCTAAAAAACCCTATGGAGCAGTTCTAGTCTGTAACACATGAGGTCGCCGTGAGTTAGAATTAACTTGGTGGCCATGGGTTGGTTTGTTTGTTTTTTGGTTTATTGTATATTTATGACTAATATACATTTGTAAAAGTATGCATAAATAATATGCAATGCATATATATGTATACATAAGACTTATGAAGAGGTAATTAAAAATTGAGGAACAAAGAGTGGAAATGACTCATTAAAGAACAACAGCTAGAATGTCCCTGAAGAGGAATATTTATTTTTGCTCATAATAACCCATAACATTGCATAGCACCACAAATTAATTTGCTTAAAATATTCCACATTATTGCACAGCACCATAAATTAATACCTGTATTTTTTTTTTTCAGATAAACAATTTCACACTTGCACCTTCTCCTCATTCATGAAATCATGCTGCTGAATAATAATGTGACTGAGTTCATTCTGCTTGGGTTGACACAAGATCCTGCTAAAAAGAAAACCGTGTTTTTCTTTTTTTTGCTTTTCTACTTAGGGACATTGTTGGCTAACTTCTTGATAATTGTTACGATCAAGACCAGCCAGGCATTTGGGAGTCCAATGTACTTCTTCCTTTTCTACTTATCCTTATCTGATACTTGCTTCTCTACTTCCATAGCCCCTAGAATGATTATGGATGCCTTTCTGAAGAATAACACCATCTCTTTCAGTGAGTGCATGATCCAAGTCTTTTCATCTCATTTCTTTGGCTGCTTCGAGATCTTTATCCTTATTCTCATGGCTGTGGACCGCTATGTGGCCATCTGCAAACCCCTGCACTACATAACCATCATGAGTTGGCAGGTCTGCAGTGTATTGGTAGCTATAGCCTGGGTTGGGGCCTGTGTGCATTCTTTGGTTCAGATTTTTCTGGCCTTGAGTTTACCTTTCTGTGGTCCCAATGTGATTGATCACTATTTATGTGACTTCCAGCCCTTGTTGAAACTTGCCTGTACAGACACCTATGTTACCAACCTACTACTGGTGTCCAATAGTGGAGTCATCTGCACAGTGAGTTTTGTCATGCTGATGTTCTCCTATGTTATCATCTTGCATTCTCTGAGAAACCACAGTGCTAAAGGGAGGAAAAAAGCCCTTTCCACCTGCATTTCCCATATTATTGTAGTCATCTTATTCTTTGGTCCTTGTATATTTATATACACACGTCCCGCAACCACCTTCTCCATGGATAAGATGATAACTGTGTTTTATACAATTGGAACGCCTTTGCTTAACCCTCTGATTTATACGCTGAGAAATGCAGAGGTAAAAAATTCCATGAGGAAGTTATGGAGCAAGAAACTGATCTCAGATGACCAAAGATGAATGGAAGCTTCAATCTTTCTTCATAGTTTGCACTGACCAAAAAGAATTCAACTGAGAATATTATCTTCTTATTGTGGATTTAATAAAATCCTATCTTGGGGAATGACAGTTTCTTCAGGAAGCTAGGCAATATGAATACATACAATGGGTAGTGTTGAGTCAATTTCATGTAGAGGAAGAAACAACACAGTGTACAAACAGGTATGTAATGTCCTTTGCCATAGGTTTTCACTACTGTCTCTCTGCCTGTCTTGGATGCCTAGAACCACTTGTGGTTTTGATTTGGTGTTTTCTCTGTCCTTCTTCCTGTTGATTTCTGGTGTTGTTTGTTAACCTTATGGTTTCCAGTTCTATCCCACCCAGCAGAGCTATAGAAGAAAGACCTGGCGAATCTGCTTCTGTAAAGAT